AAAGTCATCGACCAAGTTTATCTGCTGCCTCTACCGACCGCCAAGTAACACCGATTACCAAAACTTTTTCGCGACACAGGCGGAAATTGTCTTTTTAGGCGATTTCAACGTCCACAATATACCCTGGCTGAAACACCACAACAAAACAGATAACGAAGGCGGAGAAGCAGAAGCTTTTGCCATAAGTTGTGGTCTAACGCAGCTTGTCGATGAACCTACCCGTATCTCAGAAAGGGGCGAATTTGCAGCGCTTTTAGACTTGTTCCTAACCACCAATCCTGACTCGTACACAATTCAAGTAGATGCTCCACTTGGTTCGTCCGATCATAAACTTATAATAACAAAGTGCGAAATGCTCATCCCACCAAGCCTACAACCACTTCCTCGTAAAATGTGGCACTATAAATCGGCAAAATGGAATGACCTAAAACAGTATTACTTGGATTTTCCATGGCAAGAGGTTTGCTTTAAAACAGCTGATCCCACTATTTGCTGTAATGAAATAACACAAGTAATCTTATCTGGAATGGACGCATATATCCCTCATAAAACTAAACCTAGAGCTAATGCAAAACCTTGGTTCAACAGCCAGTGTCAAACGGCTATACAGAAAAAACACAGAGCATATAACCTTTGGAAACGACAACAAACCGCTCAAAACCACACAGAATTTATAGAAGCCAGAAATAGTTGCAAAATTACTATTGACTCCGCTAAAGAAACATACAATCAAAGAATAAAAAACAGGTTGCTGAATTGTCCAAGTAGTTCTAGGTCTTTTTGGTCTCTTGCAAAAGCTGTTGGATCTAACTTCACCAAGTCATCCATACCACCACTTACAGATAAAAATAATCACTTAGCCACAACATCAGAGGAAAAAGCCAATATGCTTGCCCAAATGTTTTCCTCCAACTCCAACCTAACAGTGCCAAACAGAAAAACTCCACCGTTCATTGAAAGGGTTTCCCATAGTATGCCAGAGGTACCCTTTTGTCACAGAGAAATACGAAAATCCCTAAAAAAGCTGGATACAAACAAAGCAATGGGTCCGGATGGCATTCCCGCAATAGTACTCAAAAATTGCGCCAACGAACTCACCCCAACTTTCGCAAAATTATTCAATTTGTCTTACAGGCAAGGAGTATATCCATCATCATGGAAGTCTGCCGCAGTACAACCCATTCCAAAGAAAGGAAAAAAGACAGATCCGTTAAACTATAGAACAATTGCTCTACTTCCGGTGATATCAAAAGTAATGGAAAGAGTTGTGAACAATCACCTAACCAATTACTTGGAAAAGTTCAAAATTATCAACGATAAGCAATACGGATTTCGAAAATATAGGTCAACTGGCGATTTACTTACATACGTCACTCACTTATGGCAAAAAGCGATTGAGTTGCGGGGTGAAACAAGAACAATTGCCTTAGATATATCTAAAGCATTCGACAAAGTTTGGCATGAAAATCTGCTCAACAAACTCAAAGCAATGGGATTATCGCCGAAGCTTTGCACTTGGTTTGAAAGTTACCTAAAGGACAGATCCATTTATGTTGCACTGGATGGCCAGAACTCCAACTCTTACCAAATAAATGCTGGTGTGCCACAGGGAGCAATCCTTTCGCCAACTCTTTTTCTGATTTACATAAATGACCTCATAGATAAAACAATAAATCCACTTTATTGCTTTGCAGACGATGGCAATGTAGTCTCCTCACTCATACCACCTACAGGTCTTTCCGCACGTGAATTCCATCATCTTAGACTAACTCAAATATCGCAGATAAATAACGACCTGGAGATAATAGAGGACTGGGGTAACAAAAACCTTGTACAGTTCAACGCGCAGAAAACCCAAGCAGCTCTGTTTTCAAAAAAGACCAGCACCGGTGAGCCAAACATCATGCTATCTGGAAGTGCTGTCACATTACAGAGTCAGTTGAACATCTTGGGGGTTACTGCAGAGACCAACATGTCTTGGCACAGTCACGTGGCAGATATTGCTAAAAGGGCCTCCCAAAAGCTGGGGGTGCTATTTCGTACAAGACATCTGTAAACACCAAGCCATTTGCTGACACTCTACAAAGCCCAGATTCGACCAACTATGGAGTACTGCTCACATATATGGAGTGCAGCACCCAAACATACCTTAATGCTTTTGAACACCGTGCAAAAACGAGCTATCAAGCTGATCAATGACCCCGCACTTACTCGTAACTTGGATTGTCTCGAACATCGCAGATCTGTGGGCGATTTATCTCTCTTCTACAGGTACTATCACGGAAAATGCTCTGAAGAATTGGCACGTATGATTCCACCGAGAGTAGCACCTACCAGGCGAACCCGTCAAACAGACGGTAACCATGAATTTACTGTCAAACTAGAGGCACCAAGAACCTCATTATATCAGAATTTATATCTCTGGAGAACAGCATCGCTGTGGAATAAACTCCCTGCGACGGTTTTCCCTGCAGGTTACAACCTGAACCGTTTCAAGACCAACATACACCGACATTTCCGCGCACTTGCCGCTTCTCGAGCGTGATAGGACATTTCCTTGCGAGAGCGCATATCCGTAAAAAAAAAAAAACAGAAAATATCGCATCAAGGAATATGTATAATATCTTCAAACTATTTTATATACTAATAGAAAGGTACTTCACTCGATTACACAGGATAAACAGTATATAATTGCACTGGAAAAGATCAGCATGTACTGTGGAGCTCGAAAAATTTGAGATTATCTCGCTTTGTTTGCAAATAACAAACTGCTAGATAACCGCAGGCACTGAAAAAACTGAACCGGCATTCATATATGGATATTTGGGATCATATTTACCTACAGACAGCCGGCGCCGTGGGAACGTTAAAAAAATAAATCCACCTGGAAAAAAAAGTGTCTCTTCGCAAATTGTCACCAGTATGCAAACATCATCTTTTCTTGACAGTTGTAGAAGAAAAGAGTTTTTACTGATTTTTCTGATGAAATAATGCAACTGTGAGTACCTATTATGGAATAAGACTCATCATGCTGGACTAATAATGACTTTCTTTGCGGCTTTTTTTTTGGCAATGTGTAAACAACATGTTTTATAGTGGGAGTCTTCTGTAAGGGCAGTTGGACGCAGAAACAACGGTTTTGGAACGAAATCTTGAACCGTCGTGCCAAAAAACAAGCTCGGACTGAATTTTAAATCGATAATGAAAAACGACGGTTTTCTACCCCATACTTCGGTTTTAGATCGTCGTGTTTCATCGCGGCGATGAAAACCGATGAGAAAGAACGTAGTGTGTGGGGCCCTTCACACCTCAAAATACCTGTACCTCCGTTATCTCAAATTTTTTATGTAAACAATTTTTTGCCAAACAACTTATTTTGGTGAGATACAGGGTGTCCCGAATAAGGATGCACTCTACAAGCTTCTCCGTAGCCATAAGAGATACAGGGTTGGTTAAATTTGGAAGAAGTTGCACACAACTGAGCTTATAGTGGCGTCATGTTTTCATATTTCGGAAATTCCGAATGATTCTGAAGATATCCATGAAAATCCGAATTTTGTCGAAATCGTTCTTATTTTTTTCTGACTTTATTTGAAATGATATCGCAAAATAAACTTCATATTTTCATTGCAACTCTTTCTCCACTACATGATAATGTTATTAGATTTTTGATCAGACGTTTCGTTTCTTCGCGATCATCGTCAACTTTGTTTTTTTAAGTAGTCGAAATTTTTTATTCTATGCCTAATAAACTCTACTCTTTATTCTAAATCCAACGACATATCAAGCTCATAATTCCAGGAATATTAATTGTCACTAGTGGTCTCATTAACGGGCCTCCGCAATCTCCAAACATTACATCGATGGATTTTGTCTTTTGAGGGTTCGTTAAGGATGAAGGTAACTGACTTTTCAAAATCCATCCGTGTAATGTCTAGAGATCGCGGAGGCCCGTTAATGGGACCACTAGTAGCAATTAATATTCCTGGAATTATGAGCTTGATATGTCGTTGGATTTAGAATAAAAAGTAGAGTTCATTAGGCATAAAATAAAAAAATTCGACTATTTGAAAAAAGAAAGTTGATGATGATCGTGAAGAAACGAAACGTCGATCAAAAATCTAATAACATTATCATATAGTAGAGAACAATTGGCAACGAGAATGTGAACTTTATTTAGTCATATCATTTCAAATAAAGTCAGATAAAAATAAAAACGATTTCGACAAAATTCGGTTTTTTATGGATATCTTCGGAATCATTCGGAATTTCTGAAATATCAAAACATGACGCCACTGAGCTCAGTTGTGCGCAACGTTTTCCAAATTCAACCAACCCTGTTTCTCTTATGGTTACAGAGATCCCTGTAGAGTGCATCCTTATCCGGGACAGCCTGTATATCCTGTTAAAAAAACCTCACTTTCAGATTCACCCTGTATATTTTGTCATGCGGAGATTGTTCGGTCAAACCTCCAGAAGCCTTAAGAAGAAGATTTGAGAGAACATTATTGAATTTCCTTAAATCACTAAATGATAATGCTCATGGTCTAAGTAAAACGCATCGCTTTTCCGGAAGCGAAATGAAAGTTTCAATCAGAGGTCAAACTTCTTGTTTTGAAACTGAAACTGACCGTTACCTTGCAGAACTCAGCCAATTTCGATGCAGGCGGTAAATAAAAAGGCAGAACCCGTATAGTTTCTTTATTATCTCAAATAGTCGAAATTTGCAGTAAAAAAATTTGTTATTGGACCAATATTTTACGATTCATGTGCCTCAGGAGAATAGTGCGTCACAGCTCGTGGATATGGTAAAATTTTAACTTAATGACAAAGATGTAGAGAACTTTCTCCTTAGAATATTTATGATTTTTTTTTTTTTAGAACGGTATCGCATTGCCGAAATTTAACTATGATTCTACTCGAGTTCAGGGTCAGCTAATTCTACAGCTGTTGGTCGATTTCATTTTCACGACTTCACTAGTATCTAAAATTATTATTACCTCCATACTGACTTCTAGTCTGGGCCCGTTGCATCGCACTGAAGGGAAGAACTTGAAGTTTTGTGGCTCTACGAAGGATTTTTTCGGCGTCACTAGGACTGCCGTTCCAATTGTCCAAAGGTAAAGTGTCGATTGCCAGAATTTGGTCACCTAGAAAGTAACAGGAAATGTTAAATTATACTAAAGCTAACAACAATCCCCAAAAATAATATCTATTAATTAGGCTTATTAAAGTTAATAGAAGGTAAAAACAATAATATTTATTTAAAACGATTACCGAATAATTGGCATTTGCTGTGTAACTATCAATTTTAATTAAAATCATATATAAATGTGGTTTTATTTATATTATCTGTTATAAAATGAAATTATATTTTTATTATAACATAAATTATATATCTACTAATTTATAGTTTGGATTCTAAAATAAATTAAATTCACTATTAATTAAAATTAATTGGGGATGGAATCCAGAATAGTTGAGCTCCTGTTAGTTATCACATAGATTTTGGTTGCATTAATTTATATTGTTTTGGTTAGTCAGCAGGCACATTGATTATCCTTATCTACTCACCAATAGAAAGCGCTCCACATCGATCTGCGGTACTTCCGGGCAGTACTCGTTCAACATAAAATCCAAGCGTCATTATATCATTTTGAGAGGACTCCGATTCCAACAATGGATTACAATTCGACAAAACAAGACCAAAATCTTCTTCGGCTTGCCTAAAATTACAAAAAAAAAGAAATCAGCAAGTACGCAAGGTCCTTTATGTTTTCTAATGAAATAATTTGCTTCCAATGAAAGTTTTGAATTAAAAATTTAAATCGCTATGAAAGCCAATCTTTAAAATCTGGCTGATGGATGCTGGCCAAACACAGACGAATTTGCTTTAGCGAGTTGTAAAATTGATGGCTGCAGCCGTATTAGTCTGAAAAAAAACAAACTTTCCACGAGCATTTGGTGCCCAATTAATTGAACAAAACTGGCGATAAATATAAAGTAGGGATTTTGTAGCTTCAATTATACCTGTCAATTTCCACTAGTAAAGGTCCGTTTGCATATTTTACAGATTCCATAACGCTGACGTCGTATTCGATAGTTAAATGGGACAAAGTTATACCATGAGGGTTGCATCCAGCAGTGTCACGTAGAATTTGTTGAGCTTCCATAAGAGTTTTGTTGATTAAGGAGTATCTATCGATTTTTAAGAGTCTGTCCCCAACACGAATTAGGCCACTCCTGAAACAAATATCAAATATTTCATAATGTTTCAATCTGAACCACAAAAAAAATCCCCTTAATGTTGAATTAAAACCTTTTTGTTCATTATATTCACAGAGTTTTCAACCTTTGTTTCGTCAAAAATATAAATTCGCAAAATCCCGGGATTCTGAAAGAGCCAGATTATGAAAAATTATACAAAGAGAACTGCATTAATTAGCGTAGTTACGGGATTATCGTTCTGTTTGAAGCCAATTAAAAAATTCTATCTCACGATTTTCAATTTACAATCATTATACCCTCCGACCATTACTTATAAACCAATAAACACCGTTATTTGCTGTGGATTTTCTCTAGCTCTAGAATGAGACCAGGCTTATTTTCTAAAAATTATAAAGAATTATGCGTTCATGTTTGTGTTTTCATTTATCACACCTTGTCAATCATACGAGTCTGATTAAAAAAATTTAACTTTGGGGCAAAAAAAATTTATATCTAGATTTCTCTAAGCGTTTAGAGCTCGACGGGTAAGGCGAATTTCCTGGTCATTAAAAAACACTAAATTAAATCGAAATTTAGCCACGTTCGCGCCCGCTATAAGTTGCGATTTTCAAAACAAGCTTTGCTTTTTTTCACAGTCATTAGTTGCCTTTAAGAAAACTTAAATTTCTTTAATGAGTTTTAAAGTAGCGTGCTTTTGTTATTCTGCGAGCGAGAATGGTCAAAGTTTATATTTTCTTATAACGATATAATATACTGTTTATGCTTGCCAAATTGTTAGGAAAATTGAAGCACAAACATTCTGGGATTGAATAATGTTGCTTCCTTTCTGGTTAAAAACATTCCAACAATAATGGATCAATAGGTGAGAAATTAACTTGTACTGTAATATGCTACATGTTACTGTCTTTTTTTTTCCATATATTATTTTATAAAGCTGAAATTATTGGCTTTAATGCTGACGGTCTAGTGACTGCTAATATTAAAAGAAGGTTTCTGCCGCCAATAATAATAGCAATTATTAACCTATAGGGCACGCTTTTTCTTTAAACTTGAAGTACCAGTATACTACCAACACTTTCCGTTGGCCATTTTTCGAAGGAAAGCTTGTTCAGCTTGTCCTATTCTTCGTCGAGTTTAAATTTTGACTTTCGATCTGAAAGGTTGATCCTGGCCTGGGGGCAGCCATCTTCCTCAAGTGTCATTACCGTTCTCGTGGAAAAAAGTACCTTATCGGCCATGAGGCACTAGTTTGACGAAATAAAGTTGCGTTAATTACCGAAAAATTTAATATAATTTAATATCGAAAGTCTTCTGATTACGGTTTTATTCGAGTTTGAATTTCATACGCCCTCGTGGTAAGTTCTTTTTTTTTTTTTTTGTAATGCTTCTTTATAGAATGCTATTGCTTAGGGTCTTTCGAGGAGCCGTTTATTTCGAGGAGCCCGTTTCTTTCGAGCAGCCTGTTTCTTTCGAGGAGTTCGTTTCTAATGAGCCCGCACATTTCTAATGATCCCCATTTTCGTGCAACATGGGCATAGAGCTTTTGGAAGAATTTCCTAGAGGAATCAAGTGCCTCATATGTTGACACCTGTCACTCAACATTTGACGAAAACTGTGATTTTCTAGCCTCTATCTGCCTTGATTCAAGGCTGGAATCTGCAATTTCCATCTGCAACTTTCCTCATTAAGAGACAGAAAATATACGGCTACCGTAGTCCAACGTTTTCGTTGGAATTGAGGCTTGTATAGAATCTCATTAAAACGATATTTAAAATTTTCAATTTCACATTCTTGATACAGAAGCGACGGTTGAATACTTATTTCCGATTTATCGAATCTGTTATTGATTTATCTTATTAACTTTTAGTATCGCCATGTTTGAAGAATGTCTATTTTATTAATCATAATCATTAATCTGAACTGAATTAAGGGCGGACAATATTTGAATTTATTAGGTAAGTACCTACATGTCAAAAATTGATCAATTTTTCACCTGGGTTCTATAACTTAAAATTCGAGAACTTCTGTTATATTTCCTGTATACCTCCACCATTTAACCTAACCTTTGATTTCATACAGGCTAAATTTGATTTTACCGAATTTATTTTTTAAGCAGAAGCTGACCATATTATTTTTTTAGTTTGGTGGATCCAATTGAGGGTTAAACCTCTATCCATTGAGTGTTTTATTGGTATTACCTATGTCAAGATTTGGTTGAGTTGTATGCCTTACCTATTTATTTCCTTTTCAGAATTATTCTTTTACTAATTATTTTTTTGGGTGTGTTACTGAATTTTCACACTTCAATATCGTATTTTAATGATTTATTTTTACAAATCCAGTGGCGCCCTGGCCATTTTATACTTCTTCAACTATTGACCCTCCCCTAATAATTATTCGCTGAGCATATTATGGGCCTCTAGTTAATTCGTTAATAAAAGGGGTTACAGAACATAAAGACAGGAAAATATACATATGAGAAATAAACACGATCGGCAGCTAAACTTGTTATTCCACGGAATGGATAGCTATCGTTCTACGCAACATTTTCTATAATCTACACAAATTCGCATTATTTCCAGTACTTATCGAGGATATTGATTCCGTCAGTTCTGCGATCTCTATCCTCCCCAAATATGTCAGGGTTCTACAATTATGTTGATTTTCTCAAATGGCTATTCGGAAGCTGAATCCTAGTTTAAGGAAATGCTGAATAATTCCGCTTGTTTTGATTATAAATTGAATTCGGCAAACTATTTTTTACACGTACAGGTATGTTATCAAGTTCAATGTAGGACCGAAAGATCTTCGGCAATTTCTGTTATTGTTTTTCCGGTGTTGTGGCTAGAAGTATTTCCCTTTGTACCAAACTTCAAGGTACTTTTATTAATTATATAATATATAAGGGCAAATTCCAGAATAAATTATTTTCAATATCAGAAACGAAGGGAAGTTACCTCATGTATCCACATTTAGGTTTCATTTTTTACTACCCAATTACCTTAGCTATTTCTCCAGTAACGGTTCATAAAACTGTTTTTCTTAACAAGATTTCATCTCTGAAACTATAAATCCGAATGAGCTGAAGTTTTCAGGGCTTATTAGTAGTCCTCTACTAGGATAAGTTCCACTGAAAATTTCAGCTCTCTATTTATAATTAAATTGGAGATATGGTTTTTCAGAGTTTTTTGAAATGTATATACAAAGGCTACCTAGAAGGAAAATGATGAAATTGCAATTTCTGTCGATATTAGTCTGCAAATGATCATTTGGGAATTACTGTGGTATTTGAAACCGAAATATTTGGAAAAACAGGGTTAAAAATATTGAAAAATTCTCAAAGTTTAACACGATCTTTTGATTATCCATTTGAATTCTTTTTTAAGGAAAGCACTGCCCCATTTCTTTTGTCATTACCTCTTTCTGCAAAAATTAGGAGTTTTTTCTGAACTTTTAGTGCAGGCAATGCTTCGTCTTTCTTGATCAACACTCACTTCTTATTTAGTGTGTTGTCATCCATCTTCAGATATAGGCATCTTCAAATTTTCACCAGCCAATTTCGTTTTGAGCCACGTACCTCCATCCTAATTCTGCAATTAGTTTCAGGTCGTCGATTTATCCCATCTGGGTTCTGCCTCTTGATCAGAGCTTAGCATTATGGTCTACATTGTAATAATTTTAAGTTTTCATCTGTGAACTGAATTTTACTATTTTTTAGATAATTGCCTTTGGAGCAGACGTCTCAGAATTTGATTATCGCTTTTATCCAAGTGTTTTTTTTATCGGAGAGCCCTATGTTTAGCATCATCCGCTCCATAGCCCTCTGAATCCCAAATATTGTCACGGATTCCGGCTTCAATCACTAACAACTTTTATTAAACTAACTGACGATATACAAAATTCACTTACCGAAACATACACGACAAATATCAAATTAAAACTGACTCACTTACATTACTACCACGCGCTATTTATAGCAGACAGTGTACACGGGATTTATCTGGAAAAATCCGGCGACTTACTCGATTTCTCCGAATTCTTTACGAGACGAGCATACAATTGCATTCTTAGAATCCTGCCGGGCTCCCGAGAGAATTTCGTAACACTGCCTGCCTTAAATCAGATCGCCCCAATCTGAATCTACCAAGATGCACCACCTCCTCTTCTTCGTCTATATCTCCACTCAGATTCATAATGATTTAATCTATACTCTTGCCTAACATCCTCATGTCTGCCTGTCTAGGGGAATTGCGACCTGAAGGTAGCGCCTAAGGCCGCTCGGCCTTCCTGACTTCCCATATAAACTACCCTCGTGTGTGCCTGTCTCTTCTTCCCTTGGATTGACGTCATGGATACTAGGCGAATGGCTATACATGGTCCGGTTCTCTGTTGATTGCAATGCTGCCAGCTGTCTTTCCTGCGCTTCCGTGGATAGTTGCAGCACTCGCCTTCATAGAAATTTGCAGAGCCGCCGTTTGAAGGATAACTTTGACCTTCTAGACAAGTATCAGTCGTAATCTACCAATCTTCTTTTTTGTTCTTCGCTTGTCAGATTTTTCTTTTGCATATTTCGTTGAGCTATCCCAGGCTTCTTATCTCAAAAAATGATTTGAGGTCAAGGTCACTCTATTCCAGTTGTTAATTTCTCAGCTATTCGGTACTCCGTTCTGGACACGCATCCAATCGAAAGCTTCTAACACGGACTCTTTCTAGCTGATCAATGAGGCAGTTCTTGGCTTGATCTGGGCATGCTCGGCATTGCAAGTTCTCAATCAGAGGTTCTGGACGCAATTGCTACAGTCTCCCACGCCTGTACATGGCCACGATGTCTGTCCGTCATATGGTAGTGGTTCAACTTTAATAGCAGGTGCAGGCAAGGCTGGGACATTTCCTGAACTCAAGTTACATTTTAATTTTTTAATCTTCTTTTGAATAGTATCCATTCCATGGCGAACCCTCCCAACTTCCTGATGAATAGTTTCAGCTTTCTGATGAACATTGCCAACTTCCTGATG